TTATTTTAAAATGTTATATCTATGTATCTTAAATTCGCATGAGAGTTGATTATAGACACGAGAGTAGAGATCATGATACTCAATTGCATGTCTATACTACTCAATAAAGGAGTTTTGATGTACAATGAAAATGTCTTGATGCACAACTAACAAATTTTATGATTTTCATATCATTGCTCATTTGGTAAGTAATGTATAATCATTTTGTACCGGTGTTATGCTCATTGAGTATCCGAATACTCAATAGACCGAAATGATCATAATAGGATTCAATTATAGACCCGAGAGCACATATCATTATACTCAATTGCATGATTCGAATACTCAATAGAGAGGGTTTGATGCTCAACTAACAAAACTTACGATTTTCATGTCAATTCTCATTTGTACGTTACATATGCTCAGTGGGTACGGATGTGCTCACTTTTAAAATGTCATAACATTGCATATTTTAAAAGTAGCATATTACATTAGATTCACATATTGAAATTCATGGGAATGGATTAAAAGTGTATTAATGCTCATTATTTGACTCTTAATGCTCAGTAGAATACGTCTGATACTCATTAAAAGTGTATTAATGCTCATCCAACGAAAATCGCGAATTTCACTGAAATTACGAAAATGCCACCGTTTTTTAGTTTGTGATATCAGCTTTCTTGTAATAACACGATGCTCATTATTGAACGCTTAATTCTCATTAAAATTGGACTATTGCTCATTAAAAGTACACTAATGCTCATTTAGCAGAAACCGTGATTTTCACGTTAATTACAAAAATGCCACCGAATTATTTTGCTATTTTTCCCTTGGGCCTGTTACTGGGCCGGCTGTACGGTGCTCACCGTACAGCCGGTTGTATAATATACGTACTCCAAAATGTTGTCTTTCGCGATGATCAACCTCTGGATTCAGTTGTTCCGGCATGTTCAGTTAAGGACAGTGTGTTCACAGCATGGATGAAGCCCAATAAGAAGTACCCGGAAGTAATGCTTTAATATTATGAGCACATCGATTTCAATGCATATTTACAATGTTATGGTTTCAACGTATTTGTTGGATGTTTTTATCTTTTAAGTAATACTTAGTAATCTCATTTTGAGCATAATACTACCTCTGTCCCGTAAAGAAGTTCTCATTTTCCTTTTATGGATGTCCCAAAAAGAAGTTCCCATTTCTATAAAAGGAATCCACTTTTATCCCAAAAGTCACAATTACCCTTACTTTTTACCCACTTTTTGCTTGATTTGACATAAAGTAAGAGTAAACTTGGAAAGTCAAAACAAAACTTTACTTTACGTAAATATATGTGTAAGTCAAACCCTGAAGTTGATTGTGGGAAGGAGGGAGTATTATAAGTGTGTTTCTTTCTAGGAATTCCTTCTTTCTACAATAATGCTATTTGTACCCATTATAATACCCACCATATACCCATATATATATACTCCCCAAAAATAATTACTCCCTTTCACCCCTTTACCCCATCTAGCCTCTCTCTCCCCATCAGTTCATCTACCGCCCTTTCTCTCCCCCTCGTCTTCTTCTACGCTATTTCTTTGTTCTCTCCCCCCTCCATTCTTCACTTGCCTTGAGAGTTGAACCCTTCACCCAATAAAACTGTGCACTCGGGTAGCAGAAGCTTCAAGACCAACCCCAACATGAACGACGCTCTTGTTGCTCGAATCGAAGCTGACGGAAGGGATAAAGACGGTCGATCTACATCTAATATAGCAATGAGCAGCCACTTTTTCAAAGTAACAGTCAACCTATGTTTTCTCTACATTGTTCATTGTGTTGTTTGTACGTTTAGGGTTATATATTTGGGTTTGTGATGTTGAATGCTTGATTACATTGGTATATTGTTGTAGATTTGTGATGCTTATTATTGATGTTTTAATTCAAACTATTTTATTTCACTTTTATGTCCATAAGATGTTTGTAAAAATGACCCAATGATTTTTTTATTCATATCCACAATTTGTGTGTTCATTTCTTTGACTATTTTATTTTATTATTATGAATTTATACTCTGTATTTATGTTATTGAGATGTTAGTTTTTAAAATCTACTAAATATTGTTCATATATATACTATACTTCGTATTGTTTTAGAAATTTATTTCAATTAAATGTTGAGTTTGAATATGACTTTCTAATTGTGATTGTTCCTAGGTAATAGAAGGTTGTTTTAATACAGTTGATGTAATATTATTGTAAAATGGGTAGCCTCTCCATGTAAATATTAAATATTCTGCTCTTTTTTTCTTCTTGCTTTCTCCAAATACATAGCTGCACGTTAGGGGTTTGATCCGTGGAGAGTTATCTGAATCTGAAGATGAAGAGCTATCCATGTCGTATATAATATAAAAACAGGATGATGTTTGTTGTTTGGGCTGGGGATTGTTGAGAAAGGGCTTTTTGATTGTACTCTTACCAGATTGGTAACCTTCTCGTGTAAAATCTTAGGTAAATGATAATTAGTAATTGATTTTACCAAGTCTCTTCCACTTCTGATCGAGTTCCTCCTAGTCTTGATAGTTTGAATTCAAGGATTTCAAGTTAGAATTTTCCTTTTTTAATATTTTTGGTGGTGGTGATTGTGTTTGAATGAATGCATTGGAATACTATATGATATGATCAGATTATTGCCAAGTGATATTAATGATAAAATTTGATACTGAATATGTTTTAGCTGTTGTCTAGTAATTTGATAGGAGCGGCAGGCTGCAAGGGTTTATCAATTTCCTCTCCTTGTTTGGCTTTCAATTTGATATTTCATCTAAAGAGTTCATTCTGTAGCAGAAAGTAGCAGAAATTGGCCCTGGAATTTTGCTTTGAAGTTTATCTTGTTGCAGAAACCACTGTTGGTTGCTCATCTCGAGTCACGACTTGCAGAGTTGGATAAGAAGATAAATGCGTTGTTGTGTTATTAATTTTTATAATTAGTTATATTATGAAAAATTGTTCTTGTATTTACATGTAATTTCAGTTGTTTTTTTGTTGAAAGGAGTGTAATTTAGGTTGTTAATACTTTCAAAGTTTATCTTTTGTATTATAAAAATGACTTTGAATTGTGCCAAAGGAATTGAGTTGTGTTATCAATCTGAGTGTAAATGTGTAATTAGCTTGAGAGGGTGTTACTCCTAAAAATAGGTGTCTGTGATGCTCACAAATAACATACTTCCTGCATTCTTTTTTAGTTGCAACATTCAATATTTCACACTTGCTAACGCATGTCTTTGATCATAATTATATCTTAATCTTTATTAGTAAAAAAAGTCAGATTTTGAAAATTTGTAATGAGATAAATTTGCGATTAAAAAAAACTGAGAATAGTATAAATGAAGGCACATACAAATATTTTCTACACCCAAACAAAACAAAGGAACGTATAGACAATATTTTAATCACACCCCCACATTATAAATAAACACATTTGAGAAGTTCTAACCTTCTCTTTTCTTATATTCTCCTATTTTACTTCGAATAAATTCTGAACTATAAATATACATTAAGGTTTATAAAATAATCCACAAAAAATTCATCTTAGAAATTATTGTCTCTGTGTTCGTTTAATCGTCTCTAAGAGATTATAACATTGTTTGTGTGTTCTTTTTTTTGTTTGTGCATAGAAAGCAATTGTCTATGTGTTCATTGGTATACCAAGACGTATAGTCTGTGTGTGGTGTAAACATTATGTGTATTTTTTTTATTTTGTCTATGCGTAGAAAATAATTGTCTATGCGTCTGTGTGTGTGGGTTTATTTAAACATCTATTCATTTATTTTATTTGAGCGTAGAAAATATATGTTTGTATGTTCATTTACATTGTCGGTACGAAACAACAAGCTTACTTAAAATTAATGATTACTTTGTTTGTGATCTTCATAGACATTCTATTAGAATCGCTCAAGCTAAAAATCATTAGTTTAATTACACTCGGATTAATAGCACAACTTCAATTCCTTTGTAACCCATCAAAGTCATTTTCATAATACAAAAGATAAATTTTGAAAACATAAACAACTATAACTAAACTATCATTGTAAATACAAGAACATTAAATTCACAATACAACTAATTACAAAAATTAAGAGCACAACATTGCATTTATCCTCTTATCCAGCTCTATAAGTCAAGCTAAAGCTCCCAACAATGATTTTTGCACCAAGAGGGCAAGAGATATTCCAGAGCAATGACCTGCTGTGAACATAAAATGCATTAGATGATCTAAGCATGAGTTATTCCAATTTCAAACCATTTATAGATGCCAACTAAGCCATTCAAATCTTCTAAAACTCAACATGTAGAGAAGTCATATAACACATAGATGAGTAGATATAAACTCAAGGTAATAGTAATCGGTTCAGGACTTTGTCATTTTATCATAACGTATATACGAATACACAAACAAATATTTAGACACACAAACAAAATAAATGAACACACAAACAATATTTTAACCAAAAACAGACAATATAAATAAACACACAATGAAAAGTTCTAAACTTCTCCTTTCCCATATTCTCCCATTTTGTTTCAAATAAATTCTGAACTATAAATATACACTACGATTGACAATATAATCCAAAAACAAGTTCAGAAATTCAACATATTCTCTATATTACAACTACAACTATAATTACAAATTCAAGAAACATTCATTAAAATTTCAATGAAACATTTAAACAAACATGTCATGTGCATAAAAAAGAAATAGAGTAGTTTAATTGAAATTTTAAAAAATTAATATCATCAAACCCATAACTGGGAAACAAAATAATCATACATTCATCATCATACTAAAATCTTTACCTATGACATAACAAGATAAATCAAAATCTGAAAAAGAAAAAATTGCAATCGTAGAAGCAAAAAAAATTGAAGTATATTATTACCTCAAGATTCAAAGTTTTGAGACTAAAATGATGGGATTGTGTTGGATCAGTTCTCCTGAGATGAGCTTTAATTTGACGGTAAATTGAAAACAAAAAGAAGCAGAGAAGAAGAAAGGGTGTAGAAGAAGGGAGGGGAGGAGAGAAACCGTGTAGGAGAAGGGAAGTGGGGGAAAGAGGAGAGATAAGGGGTAAAGGGGTGAAAGAAGGTAAATTTTTTGGGAGTATATATAATGGGTATAGGGTGGATTTAATAGTGTGTACAAAGAGACTAATTGTTCTTTCTATGCTTTGAAGATGGATGGTATCAATATCTGTTACTGTGTCTGACTTTGATTGACGTGTTTACTGTCTCTCACCGAAGAGCAATGCATTTCTGTTGCTGGAGCCTTATATCAGAAGGAATTAGGAGGTCTATCACTACTCGCATTGCCGCCTTTTCAAGTTCAAATTTAAAACTGCAGGCTAAGAAGAAGTTCGCCTTTCATTCTTCCTCCAACACCATCAGTTGATTCCAAATTGCAAGTCGCAGTAGAGTAAGGAGCCAATCACAATCATTTGAGCAAAATCCTCCATTGATAGAATTTGAACAAGCTTCCAGTGACATCGTTTTGTCTATGGAAAACCAATTCTACCCAAACGGCGTGATAAATAGCCAATTTTTACATTCCCTTACCGCGTCTGCTCCTGCTCGGAGTGGTACTTTGAACTTCAAGTTGATTTAATAGTTTTGTCTTTCAATTGTACCACTCCCCACCCAATTTGCCGTTTTTCTTTGAAGTACAAATTTGAAGCTTGTTTTTTTTTTTTTTTTTGAATTTGTGTGGTCATATCCGAAATACAGGGATGGAGGAGATGGGTTTTCTCTCACCAAAGGTGGAAGCCATGCTTGAAAAGATCTGCTTTGAGCAGTGTCAAGAACCGTTAGATGCTTATTCTAGAAGGGCTCTTGCCTCGTTAGGAGAACAGGCTTCCATTGATCTCCTGGAAAAAATCTCAGCTTGCACGATTCGAAAATCACTCAGCGCTTTTATAAGTTTTATGGTAAAGAAGTATCACAATACGCCAAATTCCCCGGCTGAAAGCTTTCCTAACTCTCCTCATAGATGCTCCCATTCACCTTCTTCATGCTCTTCCAGTAATTTGTCTCCTGGATATGCTCCTCTCCATAAGAGCATGGGTAAGTTGTAGACTTGTAGCTATTCTCATCCTTAAACTGTTGCTTTTCTCCGCAATATTACAAATAGACACTTGAGTGCTACAATTATTTCCTTTGGCCCTTTGCATCTCAAATTCTGAATCAAAGTTCCTTGGTAAATAAAGTAAAAAAGTAGAAAAATAAAACAAATTGTAATCAAAAGGAGGAACTTGCCCGTCTTCTGATTTATGGACCATTTGGCAACACCTATGGTTTGTTGTACTCCAAATCATATTATAATTATTTAATAACATTTATTTATTTATTGAGTCAATAGCATACCTTATGATAATAGACTTATAGAACATGATCAAATGCAAGAAACATCAGCTCTGTAGTTCTAAATCATTGATTTGAACAGAATAGCAAGTGTGTTATAGTTTATTATCTAGTCCATTTGATGTCTTAAACTGTGTTGTCTGCAGTGTTGTGCAACAATAATGTAATACTAATCTTACTTGATGAATGCGTGCACAATATATTTGGTGTGCATGTAGCTTCCTTCTCTCTCTCTCTCTCTCTCTCTCCATCAACCTTGTAGTCATGAGCTTAAGACTTTGACCAGGGAGGGTATCTAATAGTCAAACATCACGTTACAATGGCACTGTCGAGACACCTGAATCTACAACATCAAAGCCGAAATTATTATCATCTGAATTGAGTCCTCAGCTTTTTAACCACGAGCGCAAGAGATTAGAATTCAAAGAGAGGGAAAATGGTCAAGGAATTAGTTACCAGTTGTCAGCACTCAGTGAGCTTGAATTTCGGAAGTTCTTCCTAATATTGAACTATATCGGGAGGTAATACAACCTGATCTGGCTGTCTCATTCCCTTCTGCATTTTTCAACTGTTTTGAATCTAACCGACTTTATTTACAGGAATATTTTGGAGAGCGTAGTGACTCCTGAGGCTGCTGAAGATATTGTAGCTTCAGGGGGTCAACCAATGGCCTCTTTTGAGTCATATATCTGGAGCAAATATGGTCACTTGTGTGAAGATCATGAAAGACTACAGGTGGCACTCTTCACAAACAAGTTATCTTCTTTTTTTATTCTTCAAATTACCTGGTTCTCTGAGTTTCTTCCATAGCATTATGATTTCCAAAGTCTGTGAAGTCTTTTTTTTATCATTTTCTTTCATGCCATGCAATGAGTCTACTAAAGCATTTAGGTACCTTCGTGTTTGGTTCTGCACTTCTTTCTGGGTTTCAAATTCATTTACATCTTAATGTTTGTGTGTATTCAGTATACTGATTGGGATTCTGGAAGGACGCATCTATACTATTGTAATATTGATTCCAATGGAGAGTATACTTTCAAGGTTTGCACTGGTCCACTATTTTACATTAAATGCCTTCTCTCTACTTTTTTAAAAGTATAAGAGTTGCTTCTTTAACGTTTTTGTGCTCAGTGGCTCTTAGGAGAAAGTATGTGTACTCTAAAGTCAATCTACCTTAGGACGTTAGGATGCAACCTTTTTACTTCAATGTGATCTTTAAAGAATATTCATAGTGAGAGTTTATTCTCAGTATAAATTGCATACAAATTGCTTATTATTCCATAGGTGGTTAATGCTGGAATGAAAATTACCTTTTTTGATAAGCACCGTAAAAAACATTTGGATATTTCATGCATTTATCCTTTTCTCATTCAGGGACCTTATTTGAACGCTGCAAGGACTCATCTACAACAAGCATTAGGAGATGAAAATGTGTTGATTGTTAGGTTTTTGGAAGATGCTCCTACTAATGCCAGAAAAATCATTGACAGTGGAATTTCTGTTGGACTAAGACGGTTCCACTTCTTTGGTAATTGTCTTTGTAACCTGCATGAAGATTGAAAACATTCAAGAATGTTTCATGGTCATTGAGTTCCAATTAAAAACTTTATAAGAAGTGCTTATATGATAGGTTATACACCTTAGATTTTCCATTTCATTAACATACTTCCTGTTAGCATGGATCATGCAGTAATTTTATCTATCTTTTCAGCTGCTCCTTAGTGCCTTAAGTCATATATAGCACTGCATCTCTTCCAAAAAAGAGTCATGTTTGACTTATGTACAACTTTTCAATTTGTGTGGAGATACAGTCACAGACCATGGTTTCTGTATCATACTTATATTTGTAAGAAAAACTTATCTGTTAGTTTTAGTAATTTTTGGCAAATTACATGAAAAATCAGTTTCATATAATCTAATTGGACTCTTCTTTTGAGACAAAAAAACTGTCTCAAATAGAACTCATTTTGTGGGACTGGTGGCAGATTACATATCCTTTTTTGTTAACACGGTGTCCATTCCATTTTTTGTTCAAATAATACCACATACACTGAAGGTAATAACCAGATAAACCTCCAGTGGCCCTCCAGGGGGATTCAAACTAGTGACCTGATATGGGAAAAGAAGAATTATATTATTTTTTATTACTATTATTATAACTTTTATTATTCCTATGTCTGCTTTAGACAACTTCTTAATTGGCATTTATCTCCTTTTATACTAATTCCTATTTTGCTTTAGACAATTTCTTAATTAGCATATATTTCTTTTTAAAATTAGGACTCTTGTGATAGCTATATATAAGGTGCATGCGTATTATTCGATAATCAACTTGGGTAGAATTAATTATTGTGCCTTAACAAGGTCGGACACTGAATAATTCTAGCTTAGGCTTATTTTACCATTCCTCTCTCATATTCTCGATTTCCTAGATTTGAAAAGAGACTCCAACCCCTCTCAAAAAAAAGAAAGAAAAGAGACTCCAACCATGCCTGTAATAATTTGGTACCAGAGCCATCACATTCCTTCCCGGTTCATCTTATTTTGCATTTTTTCTATTTTATCAAGATCCTGCTCGGTTCAACTTCTTCCCCACCCTTTCTGTTTTATTTTCTTGCTTAGAATCCTCCAAAAATACCGAAATCCACAAATCAACAATCCAGAATCTTTTGTTATGTGGATTGGCTTCTCCCTGTACTCGTCAATGTAAAACTGCGAATAGGTATAGCTTTTGAGAATTCCAAACCTGCCAGTGTTTTGTTTTTTCTGAAATCCTTATGTTGTGTTATAAACATAAGAAAGAACTACTAAATTAGACTCCCGATTAAATCTGCTTGCGTTGTCTTTCATGTATTAGCCATTAGGGTTTCACTTGTTTTTTAGTTGCAGTAGTTGTTCATTCATTAGCTCTTAGATTCTTGATTTAAGTTCCAAAAAAGGAAAGAAAAGCAAAAAAGCTTATTGCTGAACCAGCACATCCAATTTTTCAAGCAAGAAGCCTAGAACGATGCCGATCAATGACCCCTCACTAGTGACATTACTCCAACATGGTGCAAATCAGTGTATGTGTGGCAAAGAACATGTAGAAAATGTTACATTTATTTCTTAATTATTGTGTGTACATAATTACCGGATAGATTAGATTAGAAGACTGGTCTATTAGATCAGATTAGAAGTTGTTGCTTATTGATAAGATTGTAGTTGGTCAGATCCTAAAAAATAGGATCTACTCTGGTAGTTTGTTACTTGTACATCCTGTATTTATACCCCAGCCGATTGGCATATTCAATCAAGGAATTTTATTCCCAAAACCTACATGGTATCAGAGCCTTGAATTTACACATCTCAAATGGTGGAATTCGAACACTCTGACTCATCTCCTTATTCACAAACCAGTAACCCTAACTCCCATATTAGCTCAATGGCAAACTATCAGGCCTCGGTTAATTCATCTATGCTCATCACTGGGTATAGATTGAATGGAAGGAATTACCTAGAGTGGTCACAGTCTGTCAAGTTAGCAATTGATGGCAAGGGCAAACTGGGATACCTAACTGGTGAAATCAAAGAGAAAAAAAATGGTGAAGATGGCTACAGTGTCTGGAGGTCAGAAAACTCACTTGTTACAGCATGGCTTCTCAGTTCAATGGATGCATCAATCGCCAAACCTCATATGTTTATGAAAACTGCAAAAGAGGTATGGGATTCCATTAAAGAAACCTATTCAGATCTTGAGAACTCTTCTCAGATTTATGAATTAAAAACAAAGCTGTGGCAGTCCAAACAAGGAAGTAGAGATGTCATCTCATACTATAATGAGATGGTATCCCTATGGCAAGAGTTGGATCAATGCTATGATGCTGAAGAATGGGAGAGTGCCAAGGATCTGGCAAGACACAAGAAGAGGGAGGAAAATGATAGGGTCTATATGTTCCTAGCAGGAATTAATAGAGACCTGGATGAAGTCAAGGGAAGAATTCTTGGAAAAAAACCTCTACCTTCAATCAGGGAGGTATTTTTTGAAATCAGGGTGGAAGATAGTAGGAAAAAGGTCATGAATAACACTCCAGTACATCATGATGAACCAGGAGAGTCCTCAGCAATGATTGCCAAAGGAAATGAGAAGAAGAAGCCTTGGTGTGATCATTGCAAGAAGCTATGGCACACTCGGGAAACCTGTTGGAAGATTCATGGCAAACCACCCGGAGCAGGACAGAAAAAGGTTGAAAGGGCCCTACATACTGCCATACCTGAGACTCAACAGGAGCCACAAATCAATTCCCAGCAGCCCTCCTTCACAAAGGAACAGATAGAGCAACTCCTTAGCCTTCTAAATACTCAGAAAAATTTCAAACCTGAAACTTCCTCTTGTTCTTATGCCCAGAATGGTACCATTTCATCATTTTTCTGTTCTGGAAAACCTAAAAGTACCTGGGTCATTGACTCAGGAGCTACAGACCATATGACTTCTATTCCAAATCTTTTCTTTTCATATAAGCCCTGTGCAGGGGACAAAAAGGTCAAAGTGGCAGATGGCTCTTTTTCAGCCATTGCAGGGATGGGAAATATTAAAATTTCCTCATCTGTAAACCTCTCTAAAGTCCTACATGTCCCTAATTTATCCTGCAATCTTGCCTCTGTTAGCCAGTTAACTAAAGACTTACAATGTCGTGTTATCTTTTATCCTTCTTATTGCATTTTTCAGGACCTGGCATCGGGGAAGATGATTGGCAGTGCTAGGGAGGAAGATGGACTCTATATCTTTGATGAAGGAACTCAATCAAATAAAAGAGGTCAAAGAAATGCTTGTTTGCAAACTGTTTCCTTTTCAAACAATAAAGAGTTGTATTTACTTCACTTTAGACTAGGACATCCTAGTTTTTATTATTTAAAAAAGATGTTTCCTCAATTATTTCTGAATAAAGATGTCTCTGTGTTTCATTGTGATATATGTGCACTTGCAAAACATCACAAAAGCTCTTATATTCCCCAGAGTTATAAACCCACTAGCCCTTTTACTTTGGTACATAGTGATATTTGGGGTCCATCTAGAGTATCAACTATAAAGGGAAAGAGATGGTTTGTAACTATTATTGATGATCATACAAGAGTTACATGGGTTTTTCTAATCAAAGAAAAATCTGAAATGGAAAAGGTATTTAGGGATTTTTATGCTATGGTCCAAACTCAATTCAATACCAACATTAAACTGGTAAGAAGTGATAATGGCCTGGAATATTTTTCTCAAAACCTAAATAACTTTTTTACTGAAAAAGGAATAATCCATCAAAGCTCTTGTGTCAATACACCAGCCCAGAATGGAATTGCAGAAAGGAAGAATAAACATTTACTTGAAGTCACTCGTGCAATCATGTTTTCAACAAAAATACCAAAATATCTGTGGGGGGAAGCTGTTTTACATGCTACTTATTTAATTAACCGCATGCCATCAAAAATTTTAGGATTTAAAAGTCCTATCAATACTCTTCAACAGTACTTTCCTTCAAACAGATTGATAAGTACTCTTCCACTGAAAATTTTTGGTTGCACAGTGTTTATAAAAAATCCAGAAAAATCTGCAAGTAAGTTTGATCCTAGAGGAACAAAATGTGTTTTTTAGGTGTTTCTTCCACTCAAAAAGGGTATAAATGTTTTGACTCTGCTACCAAAAAAATGTTTATTACAATGGACACTTTTTTTGTGGAAGATAAAGCTTTTTTTGATACTCATCTTCAGGGGGAGAGATTAAGTGAAGATGTTCAAATAGTGCCACATATTCATGAAAACCTTAATTTTCTTGATATTAATCTGGATGATCATTCCTTTAATGGAAGAATATCTGAAAATGATCAAGAATTAACAACTAATGAAATAAATACAACTGAACCAATTGGAAAGGATCAACAGTCAAGTCAATTCTTTGGCAAAGTTTATGAGAGAAGAGTTCAAAATCAAAGAATAGAGGAAGTCCAAGAACCTACAACTGTCTATGATTCTGACCCTATGCCAGAGAATGAAAAAGGTAATGCTTCTAGTCACCTTGATCTTCCAATTGCCCTCAGAAAAGAAAAAAGAACATGCGTTAAATACCCTATCTCAAACCCTGTTTCTTATTCTAAATTATCCTCATCTTTTGCAACTTTTACTTCCAGTGTTTCTTCTATTTCTATTCCCTCAACCATACAGGATGCTCTATCTAAACCTGAGTGGAAGAAAGCTGTTTTGGAGGAGATGGAAGCTCTTGAAAAGAATCAGACATGGAAGCTTGTAGAGTTGCCCAAAAGCAAACCAACAGTTGGGTGCAGGTGGATTTTCACTCCTAAACTTAAAGCAGATGGAAGTTTGGAGAGATATAAAGCAAGGTTAGTAGCTAAGGGGTACACACAGACCTATGGCATTGACTACACAGAAACCTTTGCACCAGTTGCAAAGTTGAACACTGTAAGAATCCTTTTATCTCTTGCTGCTAATTTGGACTGGCCACTGCAACAATTGGATGTAAAGAATGCCTTTTTAAATGGAAAACTTGAAGAAGAAGTATATATGAAACCTCCTCCTGGATTTGAGAATAAATTTGGTTCAAAGGTTTGCAAATTAGAGAAAGCCTTGTATGGACTTAAACAGTCACCAAGAGCTTGGTTTGATAGGTTTACAAAGTTCATAAAGAAGCAAGGGTTTAATCAGGCTCAAGCAGATCATACACTCTTCATGAAGTTTTCAGGCAAGGGGGAGATTGCAATATTAATTGTCTATGTAGATGATATTATCCTCACAGGAAATTATCATACAGAGACTAAGAACTTGAAAGAAAAACTTGCCCATGAATTTGAAGTTAAGGACCTAGGAGACCTAAAATACTTTCTGGGAATGGAGATAGCTAGATCAAAGAAGGGTATTGTTGTCTCACAAAGAAAGTATATCTTAGATCTTCTGCAGGAAACTGGAATGAGTGCATGCAAACCAGCAGACACCCCAATTGACCCCAGTCAGAAGTTGGGAGATGTTAAGGAAGGAACTCCGGTTGATATTCACCAATATCAAAGACTGGTGGGAAGATTAATATATCTGGCACATACAAGGCCAGATATTGCATTTGCAGTAAGTATGGTGAGTCAGTTTATGCATCATCCTTTTCAAGAACATCTTGATGCTACTTACAGGATTCTAAGGTACCTGAAGAGCTGTCCAGGGAAAGGACTGTTTTTCAAAAAGGGGAACAGTAGGAGGGTTGAAGCCTTTACTGATGCAGATTATGCTGGCTCAATTACTGATAGAAGGTCTACTTCTGGATATTGCACTTGTGTATGGGGAAATCTAGTAACTTGGAGAAGTAAGAAACAAAATGTAGTTGCTAGAAGTAGTGCAGAATCAGAATTTAGATCTATGGCAAGTGGAATATGTGAATTACTCTGGATCAAGAGAGTAATTACAGAACTGAAGATGGAAATAGAACTGCCTATGAGACTGTATTGTGATAATAAAGCAGCCATTAGCATTGCTCATAATCCTGTGCTACATGATAGAACCAAGCACATTGAAGTGGACAGACATTTCATTAAGGAGAAGATTGAAGCTGGAATTGTTTGCACACCATTCGTATCCACTAAAGACCAAACAACTGATATCTTCACCAAAGGGTTATTTAAACCAGTGTTTGAACTACTTATAGACAAGTTGGGAATGTATGATATATATTCACCAACTTGAGGGGGAGTGTAGAAAATGTTACATTTATTTCTTAATTATTGTGTGTACATAATTACCGGATAGATTAGATTAGAAGACTGGTCTATTAGATCAGATTAGAAGTTGTTGCTTATTGATACGATTGTAGTTGGTCAGATCCTAAAAAATAGGATCTACTCTGGTAGTTTGTTACTTGTACATCCTGTATTTATACCCCAGCCGATTGGCATATTCAATCAAGGAATTTTATTCCCAAAACCTACAGAACATTTCTGTAAAAAACTTGGGAATTGAATGTCTCGATTTGTGAAACAACAAGGCTCTCGCAACTGCTATGGAGAGTCAGACTGCTCAACAACAACAACCAAGCCTTAATCCCAAAAAACTTTGGGGTCGACTAACATGAACCGAACCATGATATCAGTGCCAAAAGAGAAGACATACAAGAAGAAGATGGAAAAGAAGTAAGATAAAAATACATATAAGATAACAACAACATAAGATCATAAGAAAGATAAAAGATAGAACGAAAAGAGAGCATAAAAAGCTGGAAGATAAAAAAATAACATAAGAACATAAAAAGATAAAGAAGATAAACGATAAAAGAAAACAAGAAAGAAAGATAGAAAAGAGATCAATCATCCACATGAATGTGCGCCCTCCACTTTGCTCTCTCCAAAGCCATACTCTCGTCCAACCCAAAAAGACGCATATCAGTTCTGATTCCTCTAGTCCAAGTCTGTTTGGGTCTTCTCCTCCCTTTCCTCCCTGCATCTTCTCCCCACCTCTCAAGTCGTCTAACAGGTGCATCACTCGGTCTTCTAAGCACATGACCAAACCACCGCAAACGAGACTCCCACATCTTATCTTCTATAGGTGCCACTCCCACCCTTTTCCTGATTATCTCATTCCTCAAGCGGTCTTTTCTGGTATGTCCACACATCCAACGCAACATATGCATCTCTGACACACTCATCTTTTGAATGTGACATTGTTTCACCGCCCAACACTCTACGCCATACATTAATGCAGACCTAATTGCTATTCGATAAAATTTACCTATCTCAGCCGCCTACACCTAAAACTCTATCTCAGACTCTCAGTCGCCCTCATTGCCTACACAGCTACAAGAAGGGTCAATGCTAAATTCTTTTCCAAATCTGGCAGCGCAGAGGTTGTTCACTTGTTTGTAACTCCACCGGAACAACTCTATGACTCTCCACTACACGTAATTCTCTGTGAGTATTTAAAGAATGAAGGCATTGGAGAACCCAAGAGGAAAAAGTGTCATGATCCCCTAGGACTGCATGTCAAAATCGTCACCCTTCACACTATCAAATGTGGCTGTTTGTTCATTTGCTTCCCTTCAGGCTTGAGGACAAACTTGATGTCCAATAGGGGAGAAGAGGGGAGTAATGATACGGGGGAAGAAACGTTATATTGTTATTATTATTACTATTGCTATTATTACTATTACTACTACTACTATTACTATTATTGTTGTTGTTGTTGTTGTTGTTATTCCTATGTCTGCTTTAGGCAACTTAATGAGCATTTATCTCACCCTTTTATAATTATTCCTATTTTACTTAAGGCAACTTCTTAATTAGCATTTATTTCCTTTTATAATTAGGAATCTTGTACTAGCTATATAAGGGTCATTATTATTATTCAATAAACAGCTTGGTAAAAATTATTTATTGTGTGTCTTGACAAGGTCAAGCACCGATTATTCTAGCTTAGTCTTATTTTATCATTCCTCTTATACTCTCTAAGATAATAACTTTTGTTCACTGCACACCCCTGGAAGGGTGCAAATTACATATCCTAGTTTTATGCTAATAAGGATTTCCCACTCTTACGCTATTTGTACATATCAGTATTTTCTCAATTTAATTGCTATATGCCCTTATGTTAGGAAAGCTTATGTTAGGAGTTTTAGTCCTACTTATAGGCCTTGCCGCCTTGAACAGTCACTTTTCTATGGGCCAATTATAAAATTTTTGCTTCTTGTTTGTTCATACATTTTCATTTCGTAGAATGTTTTGAAAATAAATGAAAGGTAACTGAGAGACTCTCTGCGAGTCTCTCTCCAGACCCCTATTTGTGGGAGCTTTGGCACATGGCATTGATAACAATTTGATGGCCTTTCCTTCATGTTCTGAAAATAGCCTAGTAGAAAGCATTTTTTTAGGAACTGTTATTAATCCTAATAAATGCTCTCACTGGTTGTGTGCAGTTTTTAAAGATGAAGGGAAAAATAAAAATAGGAATTCCAAAGAAAGAAAAGGAACTGCCTCTGTAAAATGCTACTTTGTACAGATGCAGACTATTGGTCATGCAAAACAAAGCTTCCTTTTACAGGGAAAAACAGTCCACGATGCTAGGTGTCTTTTCATGCACGTGCACATGGTTTCAAGCATGGCTAAATATATGGCGAGGTTTTTCTTATGCCCTGCCTAGTAACAAGTTACTTCAAGTGTTTAAAGTTTTGATGTACTTTGTTGATAATGCAGGTTTTCTCTTATATTATCGAAGACTGTCAAACTCCCCATTGACTTAGGACCGCTAGGAGATGTAAGAGTATACGAAGTTGAGGATACATATTGCCGCGTATGTTCATAGGAGCATATGGCTCTTCCCTTTTGATATTACACTTGCACTTTTCTATCTCAAAATGTTGCACTTCTTTTATGACTCTTTTGCATGGGAAATCTGTAGGATGAGTTTGGATCCATTCTCCTTGATGAAGATGGGGCACCTCTTGTGCAAACTGATGGAACAGGTTTTATATCAGAAGACCTGGCAAGGAAGTGCCCCAGTAATTTTTATAGAGTAAAGCATTTGAAAGATGCTAATTCTGAGGTAGTCTTCATGAATTATTCTGGTGGAAGGAGGAATTGTAATTTTAATAGTTCATGTTTGTATTTAATCTATTTTTCCTTAAATTCGTGTTTGTAACTTTCCTGAAGACCATCAATGGTCAGAAACTTGAAGAGTCAGAATATCAGAACAGGGAACCGGTAATCATTTCATGGTTAATGGATGACATTTAATTATTAATCTAACTAATAAATTTGCATGGCTTGTAGATCACATACCAGTTAACCTCATTTTTTCCTTTCTAGCCGTTGTTGATGCAATGTCGTCTCTTCTACAATGGCCGTGCAGTTAAAGGAACACTTCTTGTTGATAGACGGGTAAATGTTTATTTGTTTAGTCTTACCAAGTATCCCGAAGCACCAACATATAAATACATCAACATTCTTTGTCATAATGTTAGACATGTTATAATTTCTTTTGCTAGAGGGGTCAGAACTTTATGACATTGCTTATGCTCATTTCTGGAATCTTTTTTAAATAAATTTTGAAGACTTGAAAAATATAGAATGAAACATATAATTACATCTGTTATATACTAATCCGTATTATTCAATTATTACACCATTAAATTGTAATTATTAATGGATTTATGTGTAAACTTTTCCCTGAACTTATGGGCCTATCCCCTCACCCTATAAGAGGAGCATTCTTAGAAAGAAACTTTTCCACATCCTCTCTCTCTTGAATCTCACATTACATACACATGAATAAAGAAATAAACTTTCAATCACTTGTTTTTCCTACTCTTTATATATTTTTACAATCAGATCAAGGATTTTATGTTGGGTCATCTCCTAAAATCAAATCCAACATTTGTCCTTTGAAAATTTTTGATTTCATTTGGTTTTCAGTAATGCTTTCCTGACCATTTCATATTTTTGCTTCTATTAATGTATTAGCTCACAGATAGGTCAATTCATGTTAGACCCTCTATGATCAAGGTTGGTGCAGATCCAGAACTATTCCGCACACAAACATTTAACTCGCTTGAGATAGTAGCAATCAGGTAACCCTTGGTTTAATTTTAGCAGTTAAGGAAATTCTATAGGAAATGAAATGCCTAGAAACTGCATAGCACCTTACTCTTCATGACTAATGACTTGGATTGTTTGGATCGCCCATCACTGAAACAGATTGGTGATAGTGGGATGAAAGGAAAAGCAATTTTTGAGTATACATTTTATATCTTGCACCTTAGGATTCCAAATGTTGGGATACAGAACTAGTCCTTGGAACTCAGGCAGAGGGATGTGTGTCCCTGGCAGTGGTGTATCCAAAACTATTACATTACGGGGGGAAATATACAGCATTAAAAAATAGAAACATTGAAGCATAAACATTAATATGAACAATTAAATACGGATTTGTCTACACTCGAGACGTAATCATTAATGTGAACATTCATATTCTCTTGCATGAATTCAAACCCTAGTGAAATACGTTCCTTCGATATATCATTGCTGAAACGGTTCTAAATTCAAATCTTAATGTGTTTCATTGTATGCTTTATTCTTTTATTATAGCTCATGCACAATATGGTGGAATTGCTCCCTTATTTTCAAAACTCATCTATATTAAGACTGAGTCATACAATTACTAGATAAGAAAAAAGCCTTGTGAAACCCCCCTCTGCCCCTCATATATAACTCGTTCTTCTGTGCCAAGTTGTCGAACTAGACAGTTGCTTTTTAGGAATTATCTTCATTAGTCATCATGGATATGCCTTTCTCTAAACGGGTGAGTTATTTTCCTCATTGTTAATAGTCGTGTTTTGTCTTTCAAAGTCATCAATCATGGATCTGCTTTTCTTCATAGTTGTCATCACTCTTTTCATCTCAACAATCGTGGTGCCAATAACACGCCCCATTACTGAACCACCATCCTTCTCTGTGCTGATATGTGGGTTGGGAAACAAATGAGTGCATTTATTATGGAAAGTGTTGCTGTTGGTGGTTCCTTGCTTCTACGTGGGGAGCGCAAGTTGTCGAGTGCGTGGTCATGAGAGGCATGTGCTTGCGTTGGTCTCATTGGGTAAAAGATGGTGTCTCTAATTGGAGGATTCAACAGAGGGCTGGTTTTGTGGGATATTTTTTTCTCTATATTTTTCATATATGTTTGAGGAGTATGTATGCTAACCTCTCTCTACAAATATATTCCACTCTAGGACCTCTAAGAGACTTAGTTAAGATATCTGCAAGTTGTTCAGTTGTGTTCACATATTTTGTGATGATATGTCCACTCGTGATCTTCTCTCGGATAAAATGACAATCAACTTCAATATGTTTTGTCCTCTCATGATATACCAGATTTGATGCGATGTGCATTGCAGCTTGATTATCACACATGAGTTGAACCGGTTTTGTGTTCCCATATTTTTACTCTTGCAGAAGATGCTTCAACCATAAGATTTCACATGTAGCAAAGGCCATTGCACGATATTCTGCTTTAGCACTAGATCTGACAATCACATCCTGTTTCTTACTTTTCCATGAAATTAAGTTTCCACCAATCAAGATGCAATATCCCGAAGTGGAACGTCTATCCATCGGACATCCGGCCCAGTCTGCATCACAATATCCCACAATATCATGGTGGCCTCGATCTTCAAACAACAATCCTTGCCCTGGAGTTTTCTTGATGTATCTCAAAACTCGGACAGCTGCATCCCAGTGTCCAGTACACGGCTTATCAAGAAACTGACTAAGAACACTTACCACAAATGAAATATCTGGTCTTGTGATGGTAAGATAATTCAATTTGTCGATGAGTCTTCTATATTTTTCCTTGTTGGGCAAAAGATCTCCTTGTTCTGATAAGAGTTTAACGTTCGGATCCATTGGTGTATCCACTGGCCTGCAATCTAGCAAACCTGTTTCCTCAAGAATATCCAAGTATACTTTCTTTGTGAGAGAGCAATTCCATCTTGAGACTGCGCGACCTCAATTCCAAGGAAGTATCTCAACTTTCCCAAGTCTTTTGTTTGAAATTTGCTAAAGAGATGTTGCTTGAGGAGCGCAATTCCTTGATCATCGCTACCTGTAATGACAATGTCATCAACATACACAACAAGATAAATACATTTGTTGCCAACAGAATATCTGTAGAATATAGAATGATCGACATCACTGCGAATCATGCCAAAGCTGCAGACAACGTCACTAAACCTCCCAAACCATGCACGTGGAGATTGCTTCAAGCCATATAATGAACGACGTAATCTGCACACCATACCAGACTCCCCCTGAGCAGCAAATCCAGGTGGTTGCTCCATATAAACTTCCTCGTGCAGATCTCCGTGAAGGAATGCATTTTTAATATCCAATTGGAACAATGGCCAGCGGCTCATTGCTACCATGGATAAAACCAAACGAACTGATGCAATCTTCGCTACAGGAGAAAAAGTGTCAGTGTAATCCAAACCATGTATTTGAGTATACCCTTTTGCTACCGGGCGTGCTTTAAAACGATCAATCTCCCCATCAGGCCCAACTTTAACTTGTAAATCCACCGACATCCCACCACTGATTTTCCAGTGGGAAGGGGGACTAAGTTCCACGTCCCACTAGAATGAAGAGCCTCCATCTCAGCCAACATGGCTTTACGCCACTCCGGGTGTGCCAGTGCCTCATGTGTAGTTTTAGGAATGCATATATGAGACAGGTGGGAAATGAAAACATAGTAAGGGGTAGAGAGACGGTGATAACTCAAAAAGTTATATATGGGATGTGGATTCAATGTGGAACGCGTACCTTTTCAGAGGGCAATGGGCAAATCATCCTGAGTGGTTTCAAGTGATGGAGTAGGTGATGGTGGTGATGCAGGATCCGTCATAGGGGAATCAACGGGCGTGGCCACGATGGGCTCAATGGGAGGAGGTCGAGGACGTCGATGGTATACCTGTAATGGACGGTCTGACATAGGAGGGAAGTTTGGGTGCTCATCAGATGGGGGGTTAATGGGAGTCTCTTGATGGATGGGCCGGAGATATGAGGTGAAGTCCAAACATGATGGGGTATCAACTGAAGATGATGGATAGTAAAAGGACGACTCAATGAAAGTGACATCGGCTGAAATAAAATGTTTCTTAAGTAATGGAAAATAACAACGATAACCCTTTTGGAGTCGCGAATATCCAAGAAAGATACATTTTATTGACCTAGCCGACATTTTAGCTAATCCAGGTGTTGTATCATGGACAAAACACACACACCCAAACACATGAGGTGGTAATGGAAATAAATCACGAGCAGGAAACAAAATAGAATAGGGAATTTCATTATTAAGAAATGAGGAAGGCATTCTATTTATTAAATGACAAGCAGTGAGCACAACATCTGCCCAATACTGAGGCGGTGTATGGGAATGTAATAATAGGGTACGAGCAGTATCAACCAAGTGTCGGTTCTTGCCTTCAGCAACCCCATTTTGTTGAGACGTGTGAACACAAGATGATTGGTGAAGCATACCCCGTGATGTCATGAATTGATTAAAGGATGCCCCAAAAAATTCTTTAGCATTGTCACTGCGTAAAATTTTGATAGAATGACCAAACTGAGTTTGAATTTCAGCACAAAAAGTTTGAAAAATATGAAACAATTCAAAACGCTCCTTCATTAAGAACAGCCATGTGTAACGGGAAAAATCATCCACAAAAATAACAAAATAACAGAAACCTAAAGTAGAAGTGACTCGATACGGATCCCATACATCCGTATGAACTAAATCAAACGGTGATGTAGCCCGTTTATTGACTCGCCTTGGAAAGGATTTACGAGGTTGTTTTCCAAGGTGACATGACTCACTGTTAGGAATACTGTAAATTATAAAACATATGTCTATTGTCATAGTTTTGGTTCTATTCAGGTCTACTTTGGGCTGTTAGTTCTGTTGCGTATCTGTTAGAGTTTGTTACATGTACTCAACTATAAATACTTGTACTGACTCTTTCAATCAATAAGATTTCATTCTTCTTTCTTCTATCTGAGTTCAATTTCTATTATGGTATCAGAGCTCTAGCTCGATCTACCATGCCGGAAACTAATTCAACTTCGTCTTCAACCTCAGCTACTGGAAGTATCACTTTTCCAGTAGCATTCTCTCATCCTCTTCCAATCAAATTGGATTCGAACAATTATCTTCCGTGGAAACATCATATTGAATCTGTGATTCGAGCACACAAACTCATCCGGTTCATTGAGAGTTCGAAGACTCCTGAGCAATTCATCACCGATGAAGATGGAGAGAAGACTGTGAATGAAGCTTACGTTGTCTGGGAGCAACAGGATCAGATGTTGTTCTCATGGATGCTCTCGTCTCTATCTGAAACCCTACATGCTCGTATCATTCACTGTCAACGATCGTATGAACTTTGGAGCACGATGCGCAACTTCTTCCAAGCCAACATCGTCGCTAGGGCAAGACAACTAAAATCGGAACTCTACAATACTGAAAAAGGAGATCGATCCATCTCAGAGTACCTGCTTCGAATCCAAACAATTGTTAACAATCTCATTCTTGTTGGCGAACCGATCTCTAACAAAGATCACATCAATGTCATTCTCGAAGGATTGCCAGAAGATTATGAATCTCTTGTGTCCTCTGTAACTTCTCGAAGCATTCTCGAACCAGTCACCTTAGCTGAACTTGAGTCCTTGCTTCTAGCGAAAGAGATGAGACTGAAGAAACTTCATGATACCACTCAGCAAACTGTATTTTCTGCTAACATTGCTCAGGTTGATGCTTCCTCTAAAAATACTTCATCTGAAACTCCTGTTACTGTTGAGAATGCATCTGCAAATGTTTCTCAGTATAATAATCCAAATAGTGGTAATCCTTATCGTGGACGTGGAGGTTTTCACAGAGGCAGGGGAGGTCGTTCTGGACGCAGCTCTATCATCTGTCAGGTCTGTGGAAAATCAGGCCACCATGCCTTGATTTGCTATCACAGATATAATCCTGCTTATACCAACCCTAGCCCTAATCCTCTTCCTCAAAATCCTATTATTC